TAGCCAGATGATTGTGATTCCAAAGCTCCGAGTATGTAGAAATTTTAGAAAATAATTTAAAATACACAGTTTGCTAATAAATTTGAGGACAGAACAAAGTACCATCACCAAATGTGTGACACAAAAAAACAATAAAATAACAATATTATAACACAGGGCAGGGAAACTGAACAAAAAAATCAAATGCAGATGGTATCATGAAAACACAGTGACAGAGGATTTATATTTAAGGAGTAAGCAGCTGTCGTAAATCCAGCATTCATTTTAGTATTTAATCAAATATGTGGCATTTTCTTCAGCCCCCGCCCCTCTCAAAATTACATGACTAAATAAGGCCACAGACGCCATAGGAGCTGACTAACTGGAGCAGGAATTTGAAAACAGAAGTGACTGGAGTCAGTGATCATTACAAGTGGTAGATTGTTTCCACGCCTGATTTCACCAGAAATTTTTAATTTACTCATACAGTAGTAACAGGTTGCTTAAACCTCCATATCCCACAAAATACAGAGGACATGACCGCAGTATCCTCACTTGTAACTTCCACCCTGTAGAGAGGCAAAGAAACAAACCCTCATTCAGTATTAAAAACTTTTAAGGTAAAGCTGGATTCAAAGTTTACTCCTGAATTCTTGTTAAAAGAATTGAGGGGGTGGTTGCATTCTTTGGCAGCAAAACAACATATGACCTCCAATACTACAAATAAAGAGCTTATGCAAGAGTTAGAGTTTATGCAAAAGATTATATTAAATTAAAGAAATTGGCTTTGCAAGTGTTTTATGAGGAAGGAAATGCATTCAACATGAACACACAATGCGTTTTGTCAAGTGAGTGGGAATGTAGATTGAACTAAGCCCTTTGTTCAAATAAAGCAGGGGCTGTGTTGGTGCAACCCGTTCTCTCTCCCCGACTCGTCACATATGACCCATTGGCGTCAGTTTGTAACACACTGGGGATCCCTATAGAGTCATAGTTCAATGCATTGGGGAAACCCTGTAGCGTTAATTTTTGGACAGTAAATCTAACCAGTCGTTGCATATTTGTTGTTGCTAAGCGTTGCTAACTTGACCGAGGGGCCCTTAATGTCTATAAATGACACTAATTGGCTACCCAGGGCGTTATAAAAAGCGACGCCTTGTCCAGGTGTTAATTTGTTACGAGTCGGGAGTGAGAATGTGTTGGTTGGTGGGGATGTGTTGCTTCAGGTTGAGGTTAAGCCACCTAATGTTGAACTTTACTTTTGATTTCAACCACCAACCCTATGAGAATGCTTTGTCTCACTGAACTAATCTGTTTTAGATAACGCCTTTATTAGTGTGGCTACATGATAGACCTTGTATGCATCAACTACAAACCGCTCTTCAGGCTCAAACAATCACACACAGATAAGCTTAACATGCTGTTAGTTACTTATTTTAACCACCAGTTCTCTAAAAATGTTTTGTCACACTGAAATTCACCCCTCAAAAAGATTATAAATTATCTTTTTGAGGGGTGACCTCCATGCATGACTAGCATATAATCATTGCCTCACAGGAATAAGGATGTGGAAACAGTTGTTTAAGCCACTGTGGAATTAGATGTCCGGAAAACTGAGTCAGTTTCCTGCAGCAGCACACCATCTAGGAACTGACACCCCCTGCTCTAGCACACAGTGAAAGTCACCCTTGATAGGAATACCACCCAAATGATCACGCATCCTTCATACTTATCCATAGTTTCAACATTTCACCTCCCGTGTATCATTTTGCTGCTACAGTTCCAGTAAATGTAAACAGTAGATTAGAAATTTCATTGGAATTATGATCACCGGCTAGGAAGCTGAGTAACACTGTAAAATGAAGTGTAACCATACTTTTCCATTAGCGAGACACCTGCCATCACCCTTTAAATTTCACACTGTGACTGACTGAAGGTTCATGATATTAGTACATTATTCCTGTCCCTCTCTTTTATAATATACTCACTATATATTTACTATAACATTGTAAAAAGGTACCCAGTCACAAATGCTATGTTAAATGTGGTAATTCATCCTCATTAAAATGTCTGGACACAGTTAGTTTTTAATGAAAATAAATGGCAGGAATTTGCAAGAACGCGTCTTTATGTCTGCAGTAGGACAGCCGCTGCTCGCTCTCTCTGTACTTAGACTGGTACCTCAGACACAGCTCCACTGAGAGCTGACCTCAGCGACACACAGCTAACTATAAAATGGTGTACACTAAGCTTGCATGCTAATGTGCTATTTGAGGCATGTTTCATAGTCAACACGGCTCAACGTAAACCCTGAGATTAAGGCCAGAGCTGAAAATAGATGCTGCTGTGATTAAGAATAAACTATAAGGCTCAGGAACACGGGTATTACGGAGGACTGAGATGCACCATGTCACCTGATCTAATGGTAGTTCACCTTAAGGCCTGGTTAATCTTGTTAGGGTTTTTCCAGTCAGTTTGTTGGTGTTTAAATGTTCCTTTCCCACAAACACTGACGCATGAGATGGAATTACCAGCCATTTTTTAAAAATTAACTAAATAACATTATTGTTCATAGCCACAGTGGCCTTAATTAGCGTGGAAGCTGACACATAACATTCTCAGCAACATTTCGGAAACTCTTGCCAAGAGTTATATGAGAAGATCAATGCATCTCTCATGTCTAGTGTGCTAAATATAAAGCTACAGCCAGCAGCCACTTATAAGCTTACCTGAGCATTAAGACTGGGAGGTTGCTTAGCCTGTTTATACTTTGGTTTTGTACAAATTAATTCATAAATCAGTGGGCCGGTGGAATCTATAGATAAAACAACTCTGTGTTACACTGCATTCAAAGGTGATACAGACTAACTGACGCTATTTACTGATGCTCCACAGCAACATAATGGACACGCTATGATGCTGTGGATAAAGCAACACGTGGCTGGACATTTATGGACAACACTACCTGTCCGTACTGCGTGCGGGAGATACTCTCTCTGCTGCAAGGAATCAATATTTCTCTACCTGAGAGTGCCAGAGGAAAAACAGAGAGGAACAAAAGAGCAAAACGAAGAGGAATGTTTGAGAGTTGGGAAAGAATGGCGAGATAATTGCAAGACAAAAGTGAAAAAGAGAAAACAGAGGTAGACAGGAGATAGGGAGGAGCATGCCTTCCTCTTTTACTTCAAAGTAAAATGACTTCAAAACTAGTATATGTTTAATATTTAGCAGCTGACATGTACTGTTACTTGAGAACACACATTCAGTACTCTTTCCTGCTGTGCTGTCGCCGCTAAGCTATCACTGCAGTGACTGTGTATTGCCCCCAGCTGGTCAGAAGGGACTACTACACACTATTTTACCTTATCTGAGATGAGCTTCCCAGTTAAATCATGCTGAGTGCAAAAAAAAAATAAAGGTTGCATTAGAGAATGAGTTACAAAAGCACACAAGCAATTAATGGACGCCTTAAAACGATTGTTAGAAACAAATATCAAAGCATATTATTGAAACCACACGACTTAAATCTTCAAAGGATGCAAAATCTTTCCAATAATTAATAAAAATAGACTCCCTGTGTAAACTGAAAAGTATTCCATATTCATTACAGCAACATCCACTCCTAAGTTTCTCCACTGAGTATTGTAAAACGTTTCCTCTCAAATATCAGCTCATTTTAATATGTTATTAAGAAAATAAACCAAACAGACTGACAGAAAGCAGCTGCCCTGTTACAGTAAGCACATATCTGTGTGTGTGTGTGTGTGTGTGTGTGTGTGTGTGTGTGTGTGTGTGTGTTTCAGATGGGAACACACTGCGCTCAGATTAAACAGATCGTATGACTCATTTTACTGTCTTCTATCAGTAGGAAGTGCTTGGATGTGTAAATCCATCACTTAAAAGTCTGTCATAACTGTAATGCCATCTATTAGACATATAATGCAGCTCTTTGATATGCTAGTGCCAAATATTGGTCTTGCCTTCTCGTCTCAGCAGGTGATTTCTTCAGGTGTCCTCCGGTTGGATCAGATATCAGAGCAGCTCTTATCTGTATACAGGTTCTGTGGTATACTGGATCAGTCTGTAAAGCGTAAAGAAAACTAAATCTCTGTGCCTGTCAGTGATGGACAGAACTCTGAGCAAACAAACACTGCAAACTTTTTTAAAGTGAAAAGCCAAACAAAAGTTCAAAATTGGAGCATCAACAATGTAAAGGTAGTAGTTAATGTGTCACCACATTAACTGTTCACTGGACATTTTTGCTAGATCTCTGCTCTGATTGGCCAGGCACATACTGCCTGGCCTCTGGCTTGGGGTTTTACACCCTGTGTCTATTATTGACAGCTAAAATGTCAAGAAGGCTAACACGTTCATGCTAAAAACACCCAATGAGAAGACTTAAAAATGACAGTTAATAAACTACTAGCCAACATCAAGATTTCCTCTGTGTAGCGTGGCAGTGAACAAATCACCACAACTGTAAACAGCCTCAAAGAGCACATTAGCTTAAACAGACCATGGGGCTTCTGTGTTTCTGTGTTTACAGTTAGCCTACTGCATGTGTCAGGCTCTTACAGGTAGGTAGATTTAGATGGATATAGTCACGTGTTCGTCGCTGACATTTGAAACAGTCGAGGTTTCTGTGTTTTTACCCAAACTGGTTTTAGGGACCACAATGTCGGTCAGTCAACTGGGTCGGTCCACCAATTCAGTCCAGACTAAAATATCACCATGAAACTTTGTACATAGATCCATGGTCAACAGAGGATGAAGCACACCAACTTTGATGATCCCCTGACTTTTCCATTAGTGCCACCTTAATGTTGACACTTGGATTGCCTTGAAATCTGGTACACACAGATATTTTCCCCTCAGGAGATAACAGAAACTAAACCAGAAGTAGATAAAAAGTAACATTGAAAGCAAGAACCAAACAAATAATGATAAGAGTGAAATGAATCAACAAGTTGTTTTAATGCAAAATGTGCATGCATCTGCAGAATCACACACTGTAACTCCTGATTAGTAAAACAGTTTCCTCTGACCCCAAAAATATCACCTGTTCTGAAGTTGGTTTAGCCGGTTGACCTGTTGCATTGTTAAAAAGCATCTTGCTTACAGTAGTTCAACTCATGTCCATGTCAGTGATCTGATCTGATGTTACTGTTTTCAAGATGTTTGCTAAGGAAATATAATAATGTAACATTTTAGCTTCCTCTCTGGAGCTAAACCCAGAAAGTGAACTGTTTTTCTGTGAATAAGTGAGTGAATCCAGCTTCTGAATGATTGACAGTGGACAGCACAAGTAGCTATGGTAATACTTTGTGGGCAGGAATAACAGAGAGTCAGTGGTTACAAGTAAAAATCTAAACTACCACATTGAAAGTCTGGGATGATAAATTATTCTTTAATTTCTCTGTAAAATTTGCACAAGACAGATACAGTATTTTTCAATTTTGGTAAGAATACATTTGGATTTGAATAATACTTGACTAATATATTCCATCACTCTGTCTGTCCTGTCTGTGTGGGTTGTAGATTCAAAGTGCATCCTTCACACAGCCTCATACTTCACACAAAACGAAGGGAAGGTGTTATCACAGTCATAATTGCTCCAACCATCTGTAAAGACAGAAAGTATAATGGTTGTTGCAAAGGTTGCGAAGAAATGGCTAAAGCAATACTGTACAAAAACTGGCATAATTCATAGATCTACTTCAGGCTGCAGGTGGATCATAAAATCATTTTTTAATACAGAATATTTTGTTTGGAGAAACCACCAAGTGTGTAAACGTGTTATCTTACCAGCATTGAATGTTGAAAGGCACAAGTTGGTGCTTTCCGGAGACATCTGATCAAAAAATCCCTCATAGAACCAGGAACCATCGAGCCACAGCCACTGGTCCTGGAGTGAAGAAGTGAAATATTATCCTTTATTAAAAAGTCTGATTTAATTCCATTTTAATAAATACACTGATTTGTTTTCTTGCTGAGAGTCAAAAAGATAGGATTGACACCTTTCCATTTGTGTTTCTTAAATACAAAGTTTAAGCTACATGGTCATTCGCTAAAGATTCAAATCTATGGGAAACAGCTAGCAGAGAGCGAAAAAATACACCTTCCGACCTGTTTAAGCTCACTGATTAACGTGTTTACTGATTTGTTTGTAATTCATAGACAAATAGAGATGTAAACAAGTTGTGGATTTAGAGGGAGTTATGTGCTGTAACTCTTTCTTGACAAAATGGTTGAAACAGTCAGGCGCAGTGACATTGTTGCCCCCTCGAGCCTTTATGCTAAGCTAAACTCCAAACTTAAGACGTGAGAGTGGTATCGATCTTCTCATTGAATTCTTTGCCCAAAATGTCAAACTATTCCTAACTTAGCAAGTACCAACTCTCATGTGCGCTAGATAAGAACTGATTTTTGAGTTTCCGTGACACTCAACACCCGGTTATAGCTTGAAGATACATTTAAAGTCAGACACACACCACTTCGCCCTCCTGTCCCTAGCTTTATCTGATGGTCTTACATCAAAAGAACCATAGTTACACACAAACTCTTGTTTTAATGTCTACATCAGCTGCATACTTGCTTGCATTGCCCTCATTCAATCATAGGCGCCTTTTTCTCTGCTGAAATAGAAAACAACCAGCAGCCCGAGGAAGGTTAAAATCAAGGGCAACTGGACTAGGTTGAAGATACTCAAAGACATTTTCGCGATGGCTGAGCACCTTCACAGACATCAGCCAGGAGCCATTTTTAGACATGATTGCTTTCTCAATAGAAGTGATGGCTTTTTGTTACTCAGACATAGTTGTCTGTTACACACATGCACCTGGTGCATTAGAGGGAGTGGAGGTACTGCTGGAGAACAAGTAATGATAGACTATGTTCTGTTCTCTCGCGAGCTAGTTTGCCATGCACTGTGAGGTGACTCTGCCCTGTACTTGGGGGCATAACATGCATAATTTGTCACAGTTTGTGTTTTTTTTGGCCCAAAGGAAAGATGCTTAGTGTTTAATGTGTTGTTTAGTCATCTCACCTCAAGATAGAATCCACCGAGCCAGGCTGGAGAGATGTCATTAGCAACAGTTTGCTGATAGAGGAAGTAATACTGCTCACGGCTGTGGACTGAGACCAGGCTGGCATCGAGATCAGCGCAGTTAGACTGGCGGAGAGAAAGAAGACGGAGAAGGATGAAGCGTGGAATAGAGATGGAGATGGAGAAAAAGAGGTGAAGCCAAGTGCATAGGTGGGGTAGACAGTAACAATGAAGAGGGAGAAATATGAGGGGAGGAGAAGGAAAGAAAGTGATTGAGGGTGGAATGAGAGAAACAAAGTGATAGTAAACTCAGTTTGAGAAGGAGATTAACAAGTCTGTTGTATTAGACTTGAAGACCCCTTTTTTAACTGTGTGATTACTTTAAACCTGCCATAACTCCAACACTGAAAACTCAAAACTAGAAAAAGTACAATGGAACTCAGAGTTCCTACTTGAGAACTTCATGGAGAAGCGGTTCTGTAAATTGATGTAGTAATATTTTGCCAATGTTAATAGGTGGCTGGTTACAGTGAATAATCTCTGAAAGTCATCTTCTCTTCACAAAATGTTCATATCTCATGCACCTAGAACGCTTTTAGGTTGGAGGTTGAAAATGTGCTCTGGAAGATTCCGACCTCCATGTATGACTTGTGGGGCCTCACAACCCTGAAAACAAGTGCAGGCCTTAAGTCAAAGAGAGACCGGCTTTACCCAGAACAGGAAAAACCTGACCGTGCGGCCTGGCTGAAACAAAACAAAGAAATTCCCCCAAATCCTCTGTCAGTTACTTAACTGTGAATTTTAAGCTGAACCCAAACAGAGGGTTTCTATTGGTTGAGCCGTAGTTGATGTGGAGGAAACCCCGGAGGTGCGGCCATTTTATATCTGAAGATATAAATACAAGCTGAGCTCAGAGCTCTGTGCCGTTTCCCAGTTCTTCAGTGAACTGTAAACACACATTCCCAGCTGCACCAGCAGCTAAAGGAGGTAGTTTCTGTTCGCGCTGAACTCTGTATTTCCTGACCACAGACTTGACTCACGGGACAAGCTGCTCTGTTTTTCGCTTTTTACCTCTCTTTTACTTTTGTGTGAGAACACATTTTATGTTGGATTTCTGAGAAGAGTTGTTGTTTACACAGCCAAACTTCCACCTGCAGAAGAAGACTGATAAACTCAATGTAGTACTCAGTTAAGAAGAAGATAACTTCCGGATTTCCTAAAAGTACTGATGCACCTAATTGCTACCAAAAGCGATGACATGAGAGGCTTTGTATGTCTAGGCAGAAGATGATTCTATGTCGCTGCTGTTTGCCACAATAATTAGGATTTGTATAGTTTTTGGTGTTAGCTCCTGTCTGAGTGCAGAGACATTAGCACAGTCTATCTGAGCCAAAACCTGCACCCCCTGTTGAATGTAAAATTCACTGCTGATGGCTGAATGATAGATTGTGGTATACTGCACCTGCTGAGGCAAACCAGATTTGTAAATCTTGTTTTGTGTGCCTTTTTTTCCTCCTCCTTCCTGTTTACTAACCCCACACACACACACACACACGCCACGGGACATCTGCAGCCAGGGCTGGACTGGTAATCTGGACTACTTCAGACAGAGGACACCAAATGCATGAAAATAACCGATATGTTTGCTTCCGGGGCTGCAGTAGCTTCAACATCAGCGGCAGTACCCGACGAAGTGCAGGCACTCGAAGGAGTAAAGGAAAGCCGTGGCCACTGCCAGGCAGAGGAGGAGGCGTGAGACAGCGTAGAGGGACCGGGCCGAGGGACAGAGAGAGGAGAGTGGAGGTGAAGCGGAAAACGTGGAGTTGCTCAACGTGTAGGGAGGAAGCAGGGAGGGAGGGGGATTTACACTGGGGACGCTGGGGACATGTAGCCACCACTTTTTGCAATGGCAGATGTTAAAAATGTCCTGAAAAATAGCTTGCACCAAAAAATGTTAATTAACAAATAAAAATGCTATGAGAAAGGTTCTATTATAAATTTTTATTAATTCTATTATATTTTTATATTCTGAATTGTCACCTGCCACTGGAACTTTGTGCTTCCCTTTATAAAAATAAAGACATTTACACCATAAATTGGTGCAGAAAATGTCTCCAGAATGCAGGAAATTAAGTGTTTAATCCTCAAAATCTTTGAAAACCCCCTCTATCAAATATTTCATCAGTAAATATTTTTTCTAAGTAGTAGAAAAATAAAAATATATTCTTGTCTTGTTGTCATGGCGCCAATCTTCTGCAATGTTACGTTTCATGGGCTAAGTGTTTCATCACACCCCTAATATGAGCCCTTAAATGGAAGGATGGTGTATTAGTGCGGAGTGTCCGACCGTTTGGTGCGCCGCCTGGTCCAGCCCTGTCTGTGGCTAGCCTGGCCTGTGACCCACCGGCAGCCTAGCATCAGTGTGCGACGCCATTTTAGTAGTTAGAATAGACAGAGTGTCTCCCATCTTGATCCAGAAATCTGCCGACTTTAAACCTCGATTTTGAACCGGATCCACAAGTCCACCCGTCTCTCTCTCTCTCTGTCTCTCGCCCCTACTTTGTCATTGATTGATTGAATTTGTATTCCTCTCCGGGAACCATCACCTTATCGTGGTGGAGAGGTTTGCGTTCCCCGGTGAGCCTGGAGGCTGTGTTATCTGGAGCCTAGTGCTCCTGGTAGGGTCTCCCAAGGCAAAGTGGTTCCACGTGAGGGGCCAGACTGAGAATGGTTCATAAAGACGCCTGATGAAATGAGGAAACCCGGGGCCCCTGTCTGGAGCCAGGCCTAGAGGGAGGGCTCACCGGCGAGCGCCTGGTGGCCGGGTTTGCCACGGAGCCCGGCCGGGCACTGCCCGAAAAAGCAACGTGGCACCCCCCTCTCCATCCTTTGGACCCACCATCCATCGGAAGATCCGCAGGGGTCGGGTGCGCTGCCACATGGGTGGCAGTGAAGGTCAGGGGCCTCGACGGACCAGATCCAGGCGGCAGGGGCTGGCTCTGGGGACGTGGAACGTCACCTCTCTGTGGGGGAAGGAGCCGGAACTTGCGCGGGAGATGGAGCGCTACCAATTAGATCTGGTGGGGCTGACCTCCACGCACAGTCTCAGTTCTGGAACCGTACTCCTCGATAGGGGATGGACACTATTCTTCTCTGGAGTTGCTCAAGGTGTGAGGCGCCAGGCGGGTGTGGGGATACGTTGGTGTTTACTCCGGTGAACAAGAGGGTCGCCTCCCTATGCCTTCGGGTAGTGGGGGGGGGAACTCGGAGTATTCGGCCTTCTTGGAGACCCTGAATGGAGTTCTGTATGGGGCTCCAGTAGTGGACTCCATAGTTCTGCTGGGAGACTTCAACACGTGACCGAAAGAACGAGATCGCGGGTACAAGCGGCCAAAATGGGTTTCCTCAGGCGTAGAGCCGCTTCCCCTTTGCGTTGAGAAGAGCCACTTGAGGTGGTTTAGGCATCTGGTAAGGATGCCTCCTGGAAGCCTCCCTAGGGAGGTGTTCCCGGCACGTCCAGCTGGGAGGAGGCCTCGTGGAAGACCCAGGAATAGGTGGAGAGATTATATCTCCACACTGGCCTGGGAACGCCTCGGGATCCCCCAGTCAGAGCTGGTTAATGTGGCTCGGGAAAGAGACGTTTGGGGTCCCCTGCTGGAGCTGCTGCCCCCGCGACCCGACCCCGGATAAGCGGATGGATGGATGGATGGATGGATGAATTTGTATTTCTCTAATCTATGACTGCTTGTTTATCTAGTAGCATAAACAAGATGGACATGAGGCGCACTCTGGTGCCAGTTATAATGTGTTATTTACATCAGCTTCAGGCCAGGTCAGAGAGTCAGAGTTGTAGTAGTAACAGCGGCCCTGGAACCCCGTCCAGCCTTCAGGACACACCATCGCTGCTGCTGTGAACGTCAAACAAAAACAACATTATACATGTCGCACACTGCAACAATCCTGTGGGTTCGAATCTACTCAATCACTAAATCTCGGTACAGAACTTGCATACTTCAATTCTCCCTTAAAGCCAGAAACCAAAGAGCCGACTGTTGATCGAGCACATGTGTGAGTGGATTCTCAAACTAAATTGTTCCAGGCCTCCAGTCATTCAAATGAGAGTCCAATGGAGGTTAATTCCTTGGTATTTAAGGTCAAAAAGTTTTTAATTTAATTTTTAAAAACAAGCCAAGCTAATAAAGTAAACACCTTTGTCTCAGTCTGAATGTATGTGTGTTTTACGTGGTAACTTCATTATGAGGCTCCCTATATGTTATGTGATGCAAAGAAAATAAATTTGACTTACGGACATTGGAGTTCTTTACACAGATGGAGGAAAAGCCACCAGAGTTGCATGGGGAATTGCTCCATCCCTCTGAGAAGAGAAGATTAGAAAAAGGCCATGAGAACAATAGAGTGTTGTAATGTAATGTGTATATAATAAATGCCAGAACTCACACTAATGTCAAAAAGCTTTGAATTTTCATTCTGAAAATGAAGTCTATGTGCGTGACAAGCTAAATTTTTACTACTGGCTGCAGACCAATAATTTATTGATCATTTTCCATCATTTAGAAACACAACCATACACAAATATATATTCTGCTTTAGTATTTAAAGGCTCACTAGGTACCTTCAATAAAATAACAGTTTGGAATGTTTGCAGAATCTGTCACTATATCCTGATAGTGGTTACTTTGACAAGTAATCTGAGAAAAAATCTGGTTCCTTTGCCGTGCTCCTAATGCCATTTGCAAGAATCCATCAAGACTAAATGAAAACAACCAATCAGAGCCAGGAGTATCTAACGCAGTGTCAATCCCTGCTCCTGCATACGTTGGGCAGCTCGTCAGCTCGTATCTTCAGCACGCAGCTACAAGACAGGCTTTGCAAACACATTGTCTGAGAAAGAACCACAAGCAATGAAAAAGCTGCCCATCCCTCCTTTGCCAACAACAGCGTATATTACAAAACATGTGTGTGATCAAGTTCTGGCGCCACACGAGGCTTCGGGCTCATTATGTTCGATGCAATGACGCTCGTATTGAAGAGTTACAAAGAGGCCTGATAACAAACAGAGGGGAAAACTTTTGAGAAGGCATAGTCGTGTGCTAGCATCTCATCCTGCTGTTAGACGTTGTTACAGCTGCCTCTGAAGCCCGGGGCGCTCCACCGAGCACTGGAAGGGTGTCTTTCAGAAGTTGAGTCATGGCGAGGGGGATCAGGGTCCTGGAAAGACTACCGCTGTGGAGAGCAAGCCCTACGAGGGATGAGGTTTTCCTTCTGCTCATGTACAAACTCGATACGAGCGAAAGGTTTTGCATGTTCAATTGTAGTCGACTGCAGTTTTAAAATCGATTGCACGCTGTGATATTAGAGTCCTTAGACCCTCATATGTTTGTCTTTTTACCATTAGAATTAAGCAGTAGGCAGGGGTTGCTGCTGTCTGGGGACTCGATGCTCCAGCTGTTGTTATAGAACCAGGATCCATCAAGCCACAACCAGTTGTCCTGGAGGGAAAGCACAAGATTATCAGTGCTTTATTGTACAGTGGAGTTAAAATAACAATCAAACATATGAAGGAATAAAAATAGCAACACATAAAAATAAGCACAGCTGAATAAATCACATTAAAGCAAGAACATATTGAGCAAAAACACATAAGGAAAACACAATTCAATTATCTATGTATGTATATGGGCCAACACCACATTAGCAGTCATAACATTGAGCTCCCAAATGCATTCTGAAAACTAGGGGGGGGGGAGTACATTAATATAGAAAACTGCAGCTTTTACTTCCTGGTATTAAGCTTTTCTTTATTTCCTGTGTTAGCCATAATCCTAACAGAGTGAGCCGAGTGGGGCCAACGCTATCTTACTGAATCGAATCAGTTTCATTGCGGGGTTTCACATTATGACTATCCACTGGATAGAAATATAGAGGGAGTTCTGAATGGATGCAGGAAGGCTTGAACCTGTCTTGAATATGACAAAAAACAAAGCTCTTGGCAGATGATTAAAACAGCATGGTAGCACATCAATAGGTACACTGAATACAAATACGTCTTTTGAATAGTGTGTGGTTCAGGGTTTGCAGCGTGGCCCTAATGTCAAGCTTCATGACTTTCATCACAATCTCCTGGTCTTTAAGCATAGAGCAGTTACAACACTTATAACATACTCAAATCAGTGTATTATCATTGATGCATATGTATATGGGAAGGTGTTTCAAATCTCAAATCATCTAAAAAGTGTTTATCTGGTGGTGTTCTGTAGAATTTTCTGATTTACCCCTACACCCGAAATGTCACTACATCAGTCTATAAAAACTATATTTAACATATTTAAACAATTCACCTTTTTCTTGCTTGTCTTGAATGCCTTTCTTTGTGGTGCTGCAGAATACTACCACTATGGCTAAATAATTTAATATCATGATGTTGTTTGTACCTGTAGGTAGAAACCGCCCAGCCAAGCGTCTGCCCATCCATTACTGTTGGTGAACTGCTGGAGAAAAGCGTACTCCTGAATACTGTGGACGGAGACCAACCTGGACTCAAGCAGGGCACAGTTGGACTGTTGGAGGCGAAGAAGACAGAGGGACAAAGAGAGACACATCAGAGTCAGACTTCCTGAAGAGCTCATGATCAAGCTATAAAGACAGGTCATTTCATGCATAGATGGTGGTCAGATGTGAGGTTAAAAAACAGGCCGTGAGGATTCCTTCTAACTGAAACTTAAATTTGATAACAACATTATTTGACTTGAAAATGCTTGAAAGTACAATTACAATATAGAAATGCTTTTTGGTACTTTGTGTTGAAGTATCCACTGAAAGCACACAAAAAAAACACTGCACATACAGTGCACCACACAAGTGACAGCTTGTAAAAAGTAACCTTAATACTGTGGATCCTAAAATATCTAGAATGTTTTAATACAAGAATGTTTTTCATCCTTCCTGACTTGATTCAAGAATTCACATGCCATCATATTTTTTTTACCTTGTTTGAAGCATGAATATGAACTGTGTCAAAACGTTGATAGAAATAATTATAAATTATAATAAAGATTTTAAGTTGGAAATCTGACTTGATTGCGGAGATAGCTCATTTTTGACGGTAGGCTGCTGGATTGGCATCACCACAGCCTCTACTGCGCATCTCCTCCCACCAGGACGCATAGCAAGTCAACAAGATACCAAACCGCCGCAGTCAAGGAAATAACCTGAGTGCACCAACGGAAAAAAACTAATTTGATGGAGCGACACAGCGCTCCACGCCATGTGTTGACACCAAAATAGAAATTGTAAGATAGAAATGTATTTCACCATTCATGTGCTTATAAAAATAGCATTAATAGAAAACAGTGGCTTGAGAAAGTGGAAAACCAATCAGCCTGCCTTCAGAGAGCGTGTTTGGCACTGCGGTGCTGTTTGAGTTTACCTGAGCCTGAGGCCAGGTCATGCCCTCATTCTCAAAGTAGTAGCAAAGTCCCTGGAACACCTCCCATCCATTAGGACACATAAACTGGCTCTTTGAGGGAGGAATTGTGCGTGTAACAGGGTTTGGTGTTGATGGAGATGGCGTAGTGCCACAACAAGGCGTAGTAGTTGCAGGTGTAGCTGTGGTTGTAGGTGTAGGAGGTGTAGGTGTAGGTGTACTGTCACAAATTGTAGTAGTTGTAGGTGTAGCTGTGGTTGTAGGTGTAGGAGGTGTAGGTGTAGGTGTACTGTCACAAATCGTAGTAGTTGTAGGTGTAGCTGTGGTTGTAGGTGTAGGAGGTGTAGGTGTAGGTGTACTGTCACAAATCGTAGTAGTTGTAGGTGTAGCTGTGGTTGTAGGTGTAGGAGGTGTAGGTGAAGGTGTACTGTCACAACAAGGCGTAGTAGTTATAGGAGGTGTAGGTGTAGTTGTAGGTGTAGTTGTAGGTATGGTTGTAGGTGTAGTTGTAGGTGATGTAGGAGTGTGGAAAGAAGAGTGGTTGAAATTCGCAGTGACTGTGGTGGCACCAGTGACAGCATCCACTGTGAAAGGAGGCACTGTGAAAAGAAGAAAAGCCTGAATTAGTGCAAACAGATCATCATGTAAAACCCTCTGTTGAAAAAGAGCTTTAAAAATAAATAATAAATATAATATCTGCCATAAATCATCGGATCAGGGGGCTTTAGAAGTCCCGAGCCTTCGCTGCTGCTGCCCCAAAACTCTGGAACAAGCTCCCCCGTTCGCACTATAACAGATGTTGTTCATTTTAAATCAAAACTTATTTATTTAGAATGGCTTTTAATACGCAGTAGTGGTGCAACAACTTCCCTCTTCTTCTGATGTTTTTAGGTAACCTTATCTGGCTTACTGTTTTCGAGGCTTCATGTTTTTTCTTGTCTTTTATTGAATGCTGTGTTGTTTATTCTTGATTTACGTAAAGCACTTTGGACCCCTGCTGTAAAGTGCTATGTAAATAAATGTTGATTGATATATTTTTGCCAGTTTGAAAACATAAATGTAATTGATATTATAAAGCCTGGGCTAACCTGAGGAAGGAAAGACATTTAGTAGAGTTTGCACAGTGTACCAGCACAGAAAGACAATACAGTAAGGGACTCAATTATTTATTATATAATATTCATAATTTCATCCACCCACAGGAAATAAAAATTTATAGACTGATCTGATTTGAGAAGAATCTTCTCAGTAACTTTAATGGGCTCATCATCAGTGTTTTTGTGGTTTTATTAAAGTGGCTGTATTTTCTCTATGCATAAGAAATGATAAGTAATCACTTTCTACTGTGCTCTTAAGAAGGTGGAACAAAACGCGCATTTAATCTTTGGGTATTTAACCTTGTGCTGCTGTAGTCGTTGCTATTTACTTTAGGTATTGAGACCTGATAAGATTACATTATACTTTTTAGACCTGAGACCGTGTGAAATCGCTGCCTGTCACATTGACATAACTAGTCAACTGTCTAAATAAGCTTAAATGTGTATTGATCACAACCACTGCAGTAATGTTACAAGAAGAGGGGTTTTCAGCACGCTGAACTGAGGGAAAAAACATTTTTTGGAGTTTTTGCATTTGAGGACAAACAAATCACACTACAGACACATTAGTGCCTTAAACTGCTGTTGTGGCAAACTAGATAGCAAACATTTGCAAATGGACAGACCGAGCCTAAACGGAGCAACACAGGCATTTATTTGGAGTTGTGATGAATGTACATGTTAGTGTCACAGCAGATTTTTATCTCCCACATTAGTCCAGTATTCACTGATTCATTCACCCACCTATTGTATATTATTTTTGTATATAAAGTTTGTTGTTGTGAGAAGCATAAAGGCAACTAAAACTTTATCTCGTTATACAAACCTATGCTGTAAAATGCTAAATAAATCTACTTTGCAGGCCAGAAAGCCAAAACAATGAGCCACAAGCAGCTATAAAGCTCTGTAAAGCTGAGGGGAACTGAGGAAGCTGTCACTTTTTAAAAAGTCAAGTTCAAACGACTTGAAACCAACATGTGATTTGTTAAAAATTAATAAGACGCATAAACTGTGTCTTGAGTAAGCAGTCGAATGAGGTTGTACATTTGGGTGCCAAGCTAGCAGGTGCGTCCTCACATTTGTTCTGGTTTAATGTAAGGCAGCTGCTTTTAACAAAGTAGCCTTATCTTTGTGGGTTATTTTACCATGTACGGTGCAGAACCCAAAATACTTCCACACAGTGCTTCCATACCATGAATATCCAATTAGCATGACTTCGCTTGCTAGTATCATTTTAATTTTTTAGCTTAGTTTACTGATCAAAAGGGTCATGCAATAGGTCAAATTAATTTACAATTTTAAAGTAATTATGAACTGTAAATTCTGAATTCAAAGTTCTTTCTTTGAATCTTTCATTACACAGTCATTTGGTCCACATCATTATAATAAATATGGAGATTAGCTTTAAAAATCCCACTGAACCTAATTGCAGCTGTGTGTGGAAAAAAAATAAGAGTCTGAATCTAAAACAATTTTGCCTTAAAATTCATTTGTTTTATGAACTATTAGGCCACATTGAGGAGTAAAAATAATCAGATTATTTTTAGAAAGTCAAAATATCACAGAATAAAGTCGTAAAAACCCAGAGAATAAAGTCATAATATTATGAGAATAAAGTCATAATATTACGAGAATAAGTATGATATCACGAGAATAAAGTAGTGATATTATGAGAATAAAGTAGTGATATTATGAGAATAAGTCATAATATCACAAGAATAAAGTCATAATATTACAAGAATAAAGTCATAATATTA